ATCCCAGGTTTATTTCTTCCCCAACAAGGGCTGCAATGTGCCTCGCATGTCAATGCAGTCGTGACCACTGCTGTGGAGGCGATGATGGCATGTGGCAGAGAAGTAACTGTTTCTCACCTCCTAATAAAAGAGACTCCTGTTTAATCTTTTCAATTTGATTGCATTCCAAAAACAGGCCTGTCTGCCCATCTGTCTCTCTTAAAGAAGCCTCCTAAAGGGATTTTAATCATCTGACTCTGGGCTTCTCAGGCAAATAGCTCCATCTCTCTCTTTCTCTCTTGCACACGCTCTATCTCTCTCTCTCTTACAGACATACGCACATACAAACTATTTCCAATTTTCTTTCTTGTACTCACTGTCATAGTCTCACTTGTCTTCTCACTCCCTGATACACCATATCGTCTCAGCTGCATTGTGCCATATCTGTGCAGCCATTAGGCCCTTCAGTTCCTCTTCAAGTCCCCCTCAGACACATAAAATTCCCCCAACCCTGTCCCTATTAATCCACATGGCTCTAAATTCTTTATTTCCCTTCAAAGGGACAACGCGAGCCGTGACATCAATCATGGAAAGCGAATATTTAGCCGGCGCTAATTTCCACCAATAGCCTGGAGACGGGCTTAGCTGACAAAACTCATTCCTGTGCTGAACAAAACTGCTTGTGTTGAAACCTCCCCTCCCCCTGATTCCCTCCTGCCTTCTGCACAGGCAAAAACAGCATCACAATAAACACAGTTAGTGCTTCTGTAACTCCCCCTTGATTTAGGCTTATCAAATGAATGTGCACCATAGAGGGATACCCTTTGACAATACATAATGGCTCCATTCTGCATGAAATGGTTTGGTAATACCAGTCGAGTGTGGCAAACGGCTTTGCTCGGTGCCACTACAAGAACAGCTGCTGTGTTCTTAGCTGGGCAAGCGCACCACGCTGCTTCACCCTTAAGGTTGTTTGAATCGGGTGAGTGGTTTCTTTTTGCTGGTTCCCAGACCCCACTCACAGTCCTTAGTTCGTCACTCAGTTCTGTTTGAATGAGTGCACATTCGCCACAAGATGGGTCCTATAAACCGTTTGACCCGTTTCCTCGTCCCTCTGTGTGTGAGCATGTGTGTTGGTGTGTAAGCGGGAAAACCCCTGAGTGGGCTCCGATGGAGGGGGATGGGGCGAGTGGGCATCCCTTTGTGTGACGCGGAGGGGCCCCTTGTGGTACCTCTGTATTCCCACCCTCTACCCCCAGGCCCCTCCAACTCCTGCTGTACCCCCCGGCACAGCTGCCCCCATGCCAGTTATTTGGGTTATCCCAGATGAACCATTGGGCCCAACATAACATCCCCTGCCCCCATACTCAGATACTCAATGCTAACGCCTGACTGACAACAGAGGGATGCGTTGGGCGCCAAGCCAATTTGTACAAGTGGGCACATTCACTTAACTGACAAGCCTGTGGCAGTTAGACATTGTTGTGGGTATATGGCATATTGAGCACCGATATTGGTCTCATAATGCAGGTGGATTGAATAGTTAGTCAGACCTCGATGTGTGCTAAGCCTCAGCACTGATAGCCATTCAACTTTATTGATTCCCAACACTAAATGGACCTCTCCAGTCCCTGAATCAAAGCCAGTTTGCATTGAAGAAGGGAGAGAGAACAGGAGAACAATTGATTGGTATTTTCAGTTTTCCGAGAGCCAAATGAATGGTTCTTCAAGAGAATCATGATGGATGAATTCAAGGAACCAGTTTCTGCTCATCAACAAATATTAAGCAATAATCTGTCTGACCAGATTCACACAAGACAATTTCTATATCTCCTTCCTTGAGCCAGTTAAAAAAAACAACTCTAACTGCATATGCACCTGTGTGTTGTGGAAATAGGTGTTAACATGTCAGATTTGCTCAAAAAGAACCAAAGCTTTTAATCTGAGGACAAAGAGGGCTGTTCTGCGGCTTGCTATCTATTGTCTAAATATCAAAATCAGCTATTAGGATTTTTAGGCCTTAATGAGAGTTGAACCCAAGCTGATTGTTTTCCTGCATCCAGTATAACCTTGTTCACCTTAATTCGCTTTGATTGGTCCATAAACTCTTACCCTTATCCTCTTTTACTTTATGTCCAAATTAACCCCTTTCAGCCTGATTGAGTTGTGTTTGTAGGCTGAGGATGAGGATAGATGTCCCTGATAACAAAACAAAGAGGTCACGCCACTACTTATGACAGTCTGTTCTTTTCAGTATTATGGGACCAGGCAGTGCATCTCTCTGCATAAGCCCAGCCACGGGTTCATTCATTATTTAGAGCCCTCTCCACGAGGCCCATTGTATTAAAGGGGTATGATTTGAATAGGAAGCAGCTTCCCGGGCCCAGGCGTGTGATGTGTGTGTTCCTCACTGTCACTGTATGTTTCTGTGGACTTCATCCATCTGCCCCAGCAAGCCAGGGGGCTGAAAGAGAATTTCCATTTTATGAATATTTAATACATAATAAAGTTTTCAATTTTATTCTATACAACCCGTAGGGGTAGAAATGTGGCAAAGCCAACCCTCAAGGACAGAGCACAGAGTAAAGGTAGTTGAATCAATGGCGGCATCAAAAATGCGGTCAACATCGCTGCACTGCCTTAAAAATCTAGTAAAATGCACAAACATCAGGAATAGTTTAACACTACATCCTTTAAGGGGTTTATAGTGTTCCTATTTCCCACATCTCAAACTTCCCATATGCTGTATTACTGTGGATCATAGCATATCCGGGCTGCCTGCTGTGTTCGTGGTGACCTGGCATGGCTCTGTGTGAGACACCCAGCTGGGAGTGCCCCTGAATCAACTTGGGATTAGCCCAGGATTGTCTGGGATTACTCGGGGATGGAGGGGGATTAGCAGTGACTGCTTGTTTCGGGGGCGTGAGGGCCATAGGCTGGCCAAATTGCCCCTGACTCAGACTCAGGGAACAGCAGGCGGACAGCACCACACCCACAGTGGAACCACCTGCAACCTGAGCTATTCTTAGATTCTAAACTACACAAACAGGATGATGGAGAAAAACATGTGGTGGAAAACTACACGACAGGAAGCCAGCAGCTAGTGATGATGATGATGCCATTGCTGGCCACCGTCCGAAATCTCTCAAATCTCTCTAGCAGGTGGATTCATCAGATAAAGAGGGTTTGGGATGATGACAAATCCCTCCAAGTTCAATGGGGCTGTTCTTCCCTCATACGGGGATAAATTGCGATTTGACAGGTCACACAGAGTTGCCTCATGAAGTGGTTCAGCTCTCTGAAAGATGCCCCATTTGCAACCAGTCGTGGTGGAATGCCATGAAAGCTTACATATGTTTTAATTCAGGCATGCGCGGGACTTGATGTGGATGATTTGGAGTGGTATGATAGGTGGATGATCCAGCCAGGGTGAGACGGGGAGTTGGCGCGGCACGTAGAGAAGCCGTCAGAAGCAGGGAGCGGGCATCCCCTGCGGACCTGCACTGCTGAGATGAAAGACTGTTTAGTGTTGGAGCAGCAGCATCAAACAACCGCCTCCTCTTGCATCCTTTCCCCCATCCCCCACTCTCCCTCCCTCACTTTCTAGACTCTAACCACAATATGATATAGTTCTGCTGTTGCACGTTTACCCGGTTGCCATAGTTACCCAATGCCAGAGGTGTCACAGCGAGATAACCCAAAGAGGCATTCACAGATCACCTGAATTGTGTTCGTCTCCCATTTATGTGTTCTCCGCCGCAATTTGATTTATTTGTTTCCCTGCAGTGCAATTCAGTGTGAAAACAAATAATCCACAACATAATGGAGATGGTGGAATTGTGAGTACCCCTCGATCTGAAACAATCTATTGTCCCAGTATATTCGTCAACCACAGGAGGTGCTTTTGATTTGATATTCTCCTGCGTGAACGTCAAAATGCCTCACACACAACAAAGAGCAGAACAGCAACGACAGACTCTGTTGCACACCAGGAACCTTCAGCATTCACAAACTCAGTGAGATAAATGATAGTAAAATGAGAATAAAAATAACCTATATCCTATGAATTACTGAGTCAGTGACTGTACATGCCCGTGTAGAAGATAATGGGAAAGTAATTGGTGACACACTGTATAATTGAAGGCACAGAGATTGAAAGGAGAAGTGGAAATTGACTGTTGTGTGCAAAGAAGTGTGTGTGAAATAAGAAAAATACAAAATATGTAGCACTCCGTGACAAGAGAGAGAGGGAGCGTGATAAAGACAGAACAAGGGAGGGAGAGGGAGATAGGCAGTGAAGGTAGATGTCGGAGGGTGGGATACATCCATTAGCCTCCCTTGCTCCCGGCTCAATCTTCCAATACATCCTCCCATTCAAGCTACGAGAGCGAAAGAGACAGGGCTGGCGCTAAGCCAGACTGGCACCGACTTCAAACATACAGTACGCCCAACCACCGCAGCTTACATCAGTCCGGCTGAAAGCAGAAGTGGAGGAGGACAGATGGATTGATGGAAATGAAAGTGGGAGGATTGACGTGCATAAGGAAGTGTCTCGAGACCGAATCTCAGGTCGTTCCAGGTTGGTCGAGGCTGACAGTGTCGTGCTCTGTGCCAGCTGTAGCTGTCCTTCGAACATGTTTGGGTTTTTGAATGTGCTCTCAATTTTTTTGAATTTGGTTGACACTGATTGCATAGACTGTTGTGCCTCTACTTCTGTGTGTTTTGTATATCTAATAATAGACGTGGAAGCGACGTTATAATTTGCCACATTTTCTTTATGGCTGATCATGTATAGACTGAATGATTTATGGGTACGTTTGTCTGCATTGTTGATTTTTACATTTGATGTAATATTCTCATTTTCTTTTGGAACATTTTATATGAATCTTATGCAAATTTCTCTAATTTACAGTGTTCACCTTAGAAAAGCAGTTTGTGTACAAATTAGAAGTGATGTGATGTATGTATTACAATTTATTTTGATCTCTTACTCACCGTGTGTCTCTCTGATCTCTCTGCAGAACTCCATCCGACACAACCTATCCCTCCACACACGCTTTATCAGGGTGCAGAATGAGGGAACAGGGAAGAGTTCTTGGTGGATGCTGAACCCAGATGGAGGGAAGATGGGCAAGTCCCCCCGCCGTCGAGCAGTCTCCATGGACAACAGCACCAAATACCTAAAAAGCAAAGGCCGCGTCAGAGGCAAGAGGGTTGGCCGTCCTGGGATAGGAGCAGGGTCTGTTGTGGTTGGGCTCCAGGGTTCCCCCGACCAAAGCAGCCCACCACAGAAAGGCCTCCCAGGAGCTGGAGGGGCATCTGGGACAGAAGGAGAGTTTGATGCTTGGACAGACCTCCATTCCAGGGCTAGTTCATCAGCCTCCACACTTAGTGGTCGTCTGTCCCCCATCCTTGCAGAGGGAGAGCCAGAGGAACCAGAGGAAGGTGGCCTGTCCTGTTCCACCTCCCCCCACCTCTACCCCTCACCGACCAGTGCCCACTCTCCATCCAGGGGGGCAGGGAATCTCTGTCCTCCCCTTGAGCAGCTGCCTCAGCTGGCTAACCTGACTGGTGCTATCAGCCTGGATGAGCAGCTGATAGAGGATAGTTATCATCACCATCACCCACCGCAGCAGCAACACCAGCAGCATCCAGCAGTTGGCAGACATAAGCACCAAACCCCTGTCTACCACTACAGCTCTGGAGTGAAGGGGCAGAGTCCCTATGGTGCAGGCGTCTATGGTGCAACAGGCATGGGGATGCTGCGCCACCACTCACCCATGCAGACCATTCAGGAGAACAAGCCAGCAAGTTTCTCTGGAACCATGCGGGCATACTCCAGCACCAATGCCCTGCAGAGTCTGCTTACAGGCGGTCCAGTTAGGCAGCAATACTGTTCCAAGGACATGATGCTGGGACAGGAGAGGGAAAGCCATCCTATGATGGGGCAAGCTATTAACGGAGCAGGCTCCAACCATCACAGCCACCACCCTGGCCACCTTAATGGCCACAGCCACAATGGACCTCATAGTCACAGCTCAGCTCACAGCCATAACAGAACTCACAGCCATACAAGTAGTCATAATCACAACAATGTCACCAACCACAACCACAACTCACCTCACAGCCTCGCTCACAACGGTCACACCCTCAGCCAGAGCCATAACCACACACCGCCCCGGGCTGTGGCCCTCATCCCACGTGGCAACGGCAATCAGCTGCAGACCTACAACCACAAAGCTCCCTACCTGTACAGCCCCCCATCACATGCCCACCTCCCCGCCTCCACCACCCTTCCCCCAAACCCAGCAGGTATGCTCGGCATGCCCCAGGACTCTTGCCATGTGGCCACCGCTCCACACCCCCGTCACAACCACTACCCCGATCCACAACACCAAGGCATGACAAACGGACCATACCACCATGGCCAGGGGATGGGGAATGGTAGCATTGGTAGCAACTACCATGGCTATCACCAACCTCAACCCCATGAGAGACTACCAGCTGACCTGGACATTGACATGTTCCATGGTAGCTTGGACTGCGATGTGGAGTCCATCCTCCTCCATGATATTATGGACTCTGGGGAGGAGATGGACTTTAACTTTGACTGCTCCCTAGCCCAGGGGGTGGGCATCGGCATGGGTATGGGCATGGGTGTGACCATGGGGATGGGAATGAGCGGTCTGACTGGTCCACAGCAAGCTCATAGCAACCAGAGCTGGGTGCCTGGCTGAAGTCTGGGACAACATCCTACCCTCTGAACTAAAAGAACTACCCTACCCATGAAGCACTGTGCTCAACTGTGACATTCCTGACTTGACACAGATACTTTAGGACCAACACTCCCGTCCCGCTTTGTTGTCTTGACAATTCTTCTGTCACCCTTTCCTCTTTTGATCCCGCCCCCCACCCCTCCCCAAGAGATGTAGTTCACGTCACATTAGGTTTTTCTTCATATCAGCTATACTGTGATGACAATCTCTCAGCTGTGCTTGCCCATCATCGCTTCTCATCTACCATGAGAACTGAACTCTCAATGCACTTTATTGCAAGTGGGTCACATCTCGCAGTGCAACGCGTTCACAGAGCAGCTCAGGCAGAGCTTGGCATGTTTTGTAAGGTGGCTGCAGAATTTGTCGGCACCAAATGAGGAAATCACAGGCTCCGTTGATAAAGTCTCACCTCTTGGCATTGAATTAAAACTGGACTCCTTTTCTCATATGCTGCCATTGTCTGTGTAGGGATAGTCTTTTTTTGTGATTAGAACCGTGAGGCCTTAGACACGGCCTATTCTTCATATCTCACAAATTCAAAAATAGAATAAATACAATATTGTTGATTTTAACCCTTACATTTGACACGGGTTTCATAGCATACAGTATATTTAAATAGAGATCTGTTCATCATTTTAATGATAACGACATTCACATGCTCATCAGATCCAGTTAATTATCTCACTCCGGCAGTCCTGGTTTTTACAGCTACATGTATTTAGTCCTTGGGGCTTTGACTTTTCTCTTGGATGTAACGTTTTGTCAGTGCCCTTTTGCCTTCGGTTAGAGAATATTGTCACTACACCGTTAAATAGATTTTATCATTACTGGCTAGCATGCAATTTGGTGGATTAAAATGTTGTATCACCTTATCTCACCTGCGCTCCTCGTGCCAGTTCCCTCTCTCGCTTTTCCTCTCGCTCTGCCTGCCAGTGGCGATAAAGTGACCATTCCTCACACCGAGCCATTAACGTGGCTTGATTGAAATTCAGCATCTTGCTTTTAATATCCAAAGTGATGCAGCAGCGATGCGTCATTATTGGGAATCTAACACGTTGTCCTCCCATCTCTCACCCCGGCCGTCCGGGCGGCCGCTCGCCTCTCCAACTTAATGTGCCAAGAAAGCAAGACAAAACTGTGATTAACGCCAAGTCACTCTGCCTGCTGTCCTGCTCTGAGAAGGGCCAATGTCACTGTCCGCTTGCCTGCTCACAGAGGGTACAAGAAGGAAAAAATGGAGCCAAGAAGAGAACAAAAGTCTGTTGTTGCAGTGGGATCAATCATCAGCCTCAGTTTCCGTACTCTTTGGGTGTGTGTGTCTGAAAACAGGTAGTGTATTCGTATTGTAAATCATCAATGTCTGTATTTTGTATTCCCCTGTTCCCATGTTTTCAGTCCTTATACCCTGAGCTTCAAATACTCAAATAGGTGCAATGGAAGGTAATTGAGGAGAAAACAATCAGCTAATCCGAGTGGCATGAGTCTATGTCAAACAGGGTTGTAATGCCCCACAACCATCCACATCCACTTTTTGTGTGTTTATTCTGTTGTCTTGTAGTTGTTGTTGTATTGTTGAAATTCTAAGGACCAACGAGGACAGCGCTGAAATATCCATAGTGTAAGGAGTGAAATGATGTTGGTAGTGCAGTATGACCTTCCTATGTTCCAATACCGTGCACCCCTTCCACACGTGCTCTCCTCAATTGTCTCTGTGTTTGTGAGTGTGGGATTCTGAAGCTTCTCACTGGCCTTGAGGGAGGAAAAATAAGACCCCTATTCTCCAGTTCCCTTAAGGAGACTCCTTGCGCTTGGTCTGCACCAAGTACGGCACACAAAGGAAAAGATGGGGGGGTTGATAGTAGGGTGGGGGTGATTTTTACAGCCAAAGGTCAAGCACAGCACAGACTATCAGACCCATTATTGGAGTAAATACCTTTATTTCAGGGCTTTTAGTCGCGCTGGTTCCAGATAATCTCCGTGAGGAAAATGCGTGGAATTTTCTAAACAAATGGGCCTCACAAAGCAGTTATGTTATAATCTATGCTACAGACATTTAGCAATGCCCTGTTATTGGAAAGAGAGCTATATATGATGTCTAATTTTCCTATATTTATTTATGAAAGAGATAGGTCTTTGTCATTCCTAAATGTGGTAGTTGTTTGAGTCAACTCCTATCCCCTTCTTTTCTCTGTTTTCTAAGATGTCACTCTACCTTTGCCCCTTTTACTGACTTTTATTTTGTACAAAATCTATATATTAAGAATATTGTATAATAGTTTTTAAAATCTCGAAATAATATCAGTTTTGTTGTCTATTTCTTTTTTAAGAGAATGTATCTCATCATCTGGTGACTGTTAAATAAATGAAATTAAAAGAAAATCTTTGTCGTTGCAATTTTCTGAATCTGACCATGAAGATGGATTTGTTTTTGTTCATGGTAACACAAAAAAAAGACCCTTTCCTTACAATTCACAGTCTTAAATGGATTCTCCTGAGCATACTTGTGCTTGTCAACTCTCATGACTGAACATGAATACATGTGCATTACTTGTTAATTTATTGCTTCATTTTGTAGACAACCCCTCTTGACTATTGTGTTTGACCAGGACACCAAATCGCGGCGTGGGAGGCGAAAGAGTGGGCTGTATGAATGAAATATGGGGGGTGGGAGCACCTTCACACATGTTGGGAACCATCACTTGTGCTTGAGACTGCATGAGAAAGAAAGATAGAAATAGTGTGAATTTTGTGTGTGTATGTGTTAGAGGGAGAGAGCGAGAGTTCCTGTCAGACAGACAAAATGAGGACAGACAGACAGCCAGACAGAGTTGGCAGGATTGGAGTAATAGGTGTGTGCGCGTGTGTGTCTGTGTGCGCGTGCGTGTGTGTCATAAGGCTTGTTATGGCCCATGAAGCGGTATAGGTTGGCCACAGCTGTCCCGGTCCCATTGGAGGCGTTTTCACAGGAGGCGTATTCAGCGCTACAGCGCCATGCTGCCAGGCCCCAGGGGAGCCCCCGCCTCTACACATTTGCACACACACAGACACACATGCACACACATACATTTGAAAATGCAACAAATTCACACAATTACACAAAGAAGCACACAGCGCAGTTATGAAACCATATGCACCAACACGCACACTCAAACAGACATTTCTCACTTAGATGTGCAGTTTTAATTGACTCCACTTGGCAAAGCCTCCCTACAGGGAAAATAGTGAGAAGTAGAGGGAAAGAGAATGATATAGGTGTGAAGGGAGGAAGCCAGGAGGCATATATTTAGAGCTAAAGATGCCTGACACAAAAACACACATTTATAAAGATTTTTTTTTCAACATTTTTAGGAGTCGGATGAGCACAAACTTGGTCCAGTAGCTTTAATTTAAGATGTTTCATGATTTCACAATTCAACCAAACGGAGTGTGATTGAGTGTAACTGAGATTGAGAGCCTGGCGCACGACCAATGTCTCACTCTTCCCTGCCCGTCTCCTGAGGGAGATAGAGGCTGAGGTAGGCAGGAAGGCAGTCCAGTCCAGGTGCTGTGCCTCGGGGAGGGTCTGCTCTTCTGTTCCTCATTATCAGAGAGAGAGAAGCTGTGTTATAGTGTTATTATTCATCCACTCTAACATCTGGGAGCAGGTCTTTCCTTACTTGGCCCAGTGGTATTGTTCGAGAGACCGCCCTTGGAGCTAAAGGCTGGCTGGGGACACGGCTAACTGCTAACAGACAGACCCACCCAGGCAAGGCTCCAGAGCACTGATGTCCTTGACTGCTTATGAGGATTCAGCAGTTCTCACTTTCCGGCCACGCTGCGAAGTGAAAAACTCCAAAGTTTAATTGTTCATAGATATGATTAATTCACCAATATGGGAGCGTGGGGTTTGATGTAATGCTTTCAGAACTAATCTTTTTTTGGTTACTGAATTCAAGAATAGGCTAACTAGTCCAAAGGCACATAAGTTGGTGTAATCAGGCTGCATATTTCTTTTACTGTAACATGTTGTGGTGTTGTCCTCCATATGGTAAAACAGCTCAGAGAGAACACCAAAAGTCCACCAGATAAGAGTTGCGAAGCTGCTGAATTTGGGGATTACAAGTTGTGTTTTAAAAGCCAACATCAACAAGTTGTAGCAGCATCATGATCTGTCCCAGATTTAACTCAAGAAGGAGGACAATTGACGGCCAGTGAGATTTAAAAGAATGAAAATGTGGCATTGTGCTTGTATCTGCTGGTTAACTAAGGCCAAGAGCAGTTTTTGTGCTCTGTATCCCTATGATTATACCTAAATTTATCATTTGGCCTGAACCTTAAGTACTGTAAAAGCACTTAAGAGACATTCACTGGACCAAGGGCTTTCTTAACGAGTGGATGATCCATTGAGGGTTCAACTAGAATGAAAAAATATGACTGTTCTCTCGAGAAAAATGACTGCATCAGTCGTTTCAGAAAATTTGTGATTATCATTTTTGAGATTATTATATTTGTAGATTTGTCCTAATTACAAAAAAAAAGGTAAATCGTTATATTACGTTGTGTGATTGTAGTGTTTTTTGTAGTATTTTTATTGTTTTGTATTGCTTGCTCTCAAAAGCAGCGATAGCATCAAGAATGTAGTCAGAGAAGACGTGTTAGAAAGGAAAACAATCTCCTTGGGGTTGAGGCAAGGCACAGGCGTAGTGTTGGAAGAGGTTGTCAGAAAGGCCTCTGAGAATTTTCGGCTGAAAGCAGAGTTAAACGCTGTGGGACTGGTGCACAGAGGCACACATTAGTAAGACAACAGCATGTTAAAATTGGCCTCACGGACGGATAAAATATCCTATCCTATATTAGGATGTATTTTTAATATAATTTATTCCAGTTACTCAGACAAATCATGAAAGATTGCACAATTTCACTTTAAGGCTTTATAACCTACACCACAGAGAGGTCTTTGTATCACCTCACACGCCTTGGATGTTCCTCACATTGATGTAAACAAACCTTAACAGCATCAGCAAACATTAATAACTTGGATTCAATCGTCTAGTGTAAGAACCTGTATTAAAATACCTGTCAATCTTTTTGGGAGGGATAGGAGTTTCAGTTCTACACTTTTGGTAGTGAGGCTTATCTAGTTTTCTCATAATAGATGTTTTGGGATGTATCACTCATGCATTCAACTATTGTCTTGTCAGCTCTAGCTGAAAATGGATTCAATAGCTTTCTAAGGCCAATTATCATGAAACAAGTCGAACTAGAACTCGAGAGCGTAGACCGCCGCTATGGCCCAATGCCCTATCATGCAATGTTAATTCAAATGAAAAATAATTTGTGTATCCGACCTGAGATTTTGGATCCGCTCCAAACTCTAGTGCATTCTTCCATGGCCCATGCTACACCCTTCCAAACTGAAAACATAACCTCCTTGGCGGAGGTAATAATGTGGTGCATATGGTGCTTGACAACAATATTTTTCTCTAATGGGAAACAAAAGAGATCTAATGTTTCGAAAACAGAATCTTGTGACTTTCCTGATTTGGATTTGGCAGCGCATTGAGATCTGTTTCAGCATGCTTTGCAATTGTAGCTCAAAGGCTTGTATAAGAAGTCTATCAACTGTAGTTTGGTTTCAATCCAACCACGATGCAGACTGACGCAACGCAGAAGGAGTGTAGAGAACTATATTGTGGACACAGCTTGTCCAAGTCTTCGTGGCCTAGTCAGCTGTGAATCTATACCAGCAGGCAAGACCCAAGTCTCCACCTTGCTGGACTGTCCCTGAACATGACAATGAATCCTTATAGGTTCCCTATCAGCTCTGCAGGGGTGTTGTGGGGGATGGATGGCCTGTGGGTCTGTTCAGTGATCGATACAGAAAAATCAGTCGCAAGAGGTGCTCAACAGTTAACTGGTGATTTATTGCATCTGGTTGCATGATTAAAACATAAATGTCTTATCTATAGTGAAGACTTTAGTAATGTGTACATCTGTCAGCTGCTAAGACACATGTGTAGTGCCATCCAATCAAGAGCAATCAACTATGTAAACGAGGCGTTACTTTAGCATTACAAGCTATTAAAAAACTCTCCAAAATAACAGCCAAGCCATGTACTAAACTTAACTGACAATCCTTTGTAAATGTAAGTATGACTTTATCTGATTTGTATACGCAAACATGAATAAATATGTGCATTTCAGAGTTAGGAGTATTCATTTAGAATTTGGGGGAAATATCAATCACAGTTCTATAACAGTGACTTACGTTTTTCAGATCTGTGTCCAAGCAACTATTGACAGACATATCTTTTTATTTACGACCAAAATTAGGCCCACATGCTGTTTTATGATTGATGATTTAGTAGAATTCATTCTTTCTATAATCAGCTGCTAATCAAGCTAGCCACAGTACTAACTAACTTTCTGCAGCTCATGTGTTGGTAGGACAATTTAAGTAGACTAACCTGTTGAACTGAACTGTTGGGCTAACTGTTTTGTATTTTACTCTTTTTGCCTTTACTCTAGTGAACTCTATTTACTCAATTAATTGAGCATTTAAAGTTGTTCTTTCACCAGTGATACTTTGTTTCTTCAGCTACTTTTGTTAATCCAGTTTCCTTATTACTGTATTATATATCTATTTCAGTTTGACATTAACTTTGGTCTGACTCTTGTTTATGGAATCACCATCAGTGAATTTGCTACTAATGCAATTTTCACAGTTTCACAATTGCTGCCACTAAAACCTCCAAAGGCCACCTCTTTTTTCTTCAACTTTCATTCTAAATGTCTTTAGCTGCAGAAGACGAAGCAAAGTTGAATCACAAAAACAGTTAAACAGGCAAAAATAAAAACTAGGGAAGCTGTACATTTTGATTCAAAGCCCTTGTCATTAATTATTTCTTTAAAAAAAATAATATTCTCTCTAAATTTATCCAAACCCCCAAAATAAAACAGATTATATGATCAAGTCAAATGTCCCTTGGGTGTCCAGGGCTACTGAGTTTTTCCTGATTAAAAGAAGACGACCTAGGAAATCCGCCTATCCTCTATCGCTCTCCTTCGCGCGTTATTAAACCAATCACTGTCCTTAATGACTCTAAGCCCCCACCCTCCTCAACCCTCCTCCACCTCTTCCCTCTTGTCCCCATTTCACCCTCTTCCAGTGCAGACAGACAAGACAGATCTAATCAGATCTTTTCTCTTCTCATCCGCCAATGATCCACTCATCAGGAGTGGGAGAAGAGGAGAGGTGTGTGTGTGGAGGGAAGGGAAGGGGAGGGGGGTGACCTAAAGCTGAGATGACACAATTAATGTCAAATTAATGCTCCTCCTGAGCACTGACATCGCCTCACCTCCCTCTTGTATTTCTCCCCGCCCTCACCTCACTACCTCTGTCTTCCCCTCTTCTCTTCCTCCTTTATTTCCTGCCGACACACATCCAGCCTGCCTGCCTCACCCATCCCTCCCTCCTCTCCTGCTCCTATCTTACCGCACGCTGTCTAATCTCACACATGGGGGAGCTCATCTCAGCATTGGGCTATACTGCGCGGCAACTAGCTTAGCTCGCTAACACACAGAGTGCAGTATGGAGTGCTAATAGGGACTGGGGGGGGTTTGCTGGGAAAGGGGAAGCTGAACGGGGGCCTGATTGGTGTCTCTAATTACAGTTTGATACTAAAGAGTAATTAATGAGTTTGTGGCTGATGGGAGCAGCTTTGGTGCGTCAGACTCGATCGCAGGAGATAAGGGCTGTTTGCGCGGAGGCCC